TTGCTTCGGTTGCTTTGCTTTGATTCGTTGCTTTGCTTCGGTTGCTTTGCTTCGATGCGGCGTTGCTTTGCTTTGATTCGTTGCTTCGATGCGGCGTTGCTTTGCTTTGATCGTTCGTTGCTTCGATGCGGCGTTGCTTCGATGCGGCGTTGCTTCGATGTGTTGCTTCGATGTGTTGCTTCGATGTGTTGCTTCGATGTGTTGCTTCGATTCGTTTCTTCTTTCTTCATTAAAATAGTGTGTTAACTGTGACTGCTTTTTCTTGATAGTAGTAGTGTTAGTACTAAGTGTGACTGCTTTGTTGCTTGATTGCCTCAACAAGAGGAGCAAGTTGAATAGCTGATAAGAAGATGGCACCACCATTGTCATTGTTGTGATCGTCGGTTGTTGAGAATTACCTTCACRATTTGTGTTTTTTTCATAGAATTTGCCTTRTYGAAAATTGTGTCAGTTTTTCCTCCCAACTGACACCCATCAGTTGGGGGAGGGATTTCGATACTGTGCTGGTCAGTAGGATAATAGCGAAGTGTACGTACGTAGACTTGTACATGATTCTATACTGTTGCAAAATTAGTTGTATTCTTGATTGATACCTGCATGGTACTCGTACGTACCGTACCGTACGGCGTATCTTTGTTCCGCAGGGAAGAGCGTACCGGTAGAAATAGTTTCGTCACAGCAAGATAAGTTACACAACGTGACCGTATCTTTCACAGCTTTCGCGGTCACTGATACCTCTCTGACCTGGACAGCCACAAAGGTTCAGAAGGAAGATATCCTGAAGACAATCATCCTTTGTCCGCCACATCCTTGCTGGCACCATCGACCATTGAAGAACTAGGCTCTCCTCTCAGTTGTCTTCACTTCGTCGGCCCTCTTTTTCAAAAACCAATCTGCGCAAACAGTACAACCTAGTCATGACGTCCCCGCCGCCCACCTACATCACGAATCGAGCGGGGAAAAAGGTCCGGAATCCGAAGCACATCGCATACATGCGACAGAAAAACAGCAAGGCCCAGAAAGATACAGAGAACGAGACGGCGCAAATCGCCGAGGCACCCGACACCAGCGAAGACGGCAAAGAACCCCACGGCAACGAGAAGCGCGACGATGGCTACTACGATAAATTCGTCGACTTGTCCAGGCCGTGGGAGACCGCGGGAGATCTGGCTACCAACCCGGGAGCCCGCTGGTGCGAGCGTGAATTCTCCCGTTTTCGGGAGGTCCAGAGGGTGACGGTCGTCGAGGACGGAAAGCTCGTCGCCGACTACCGTCGCAAAGGCGTTGGTGCCGACGAGACCCACCATCTATTTTCGACCACCAAGGCGGTGATGTCCATGCTCATTGGTGCCGTGATGGAGTACTCCGAGCTCGTCGAGCTGAATGTCACCGACACACTCGGTGATATCTTCCCCGACGACTGGGCCTGGCACAAGCTAAGCGGCGAGGAGCTGGAATACAAAAAGTCCATCCGCGTGGAGGAGCTTCTGACCATGACTTCCGGGTTGATTTCGATGTTTGGCGGCCGGAGAGGCATCCTCCACATGAAAGAAGTGTCGATTGCGGATGCTCCTGGGTCCGACCTCCCTCGGGCCCTCGCCGCACCGGCGTGGGACCCCAAGCTCCGTGGCAAGTTCAAGTACATGCCTTCTTCGAACATCCTTAGCTACGTCATACACCGCAAGACGGGCCTGTCCCCGAGGGCCTTTGGGGATGAGTACGTCTTTTCGAAGCTCGGCATCGACCACGACAAGATGGACTGGGACGCCAACGCCAACGGTGTCGAAACCTCGTTCAGCCAGCTCCAGTTGACGACGCCACAGATGTGCAAAATCGGACAGCTGTATCTGCAGGACGGCCACTGGTGCCCGCCGGCTGACGGCGAAAAAACCTCAACCATCCTCTCGGAGGACTGGATAAGGGCCAGCCACACCAAACACGTCTTCGGCGACACAAAGGCTGGCTTCGACCACTGGTACGGGTATCTCTGGTCGCTCTACGACCGCGAATACCACGGAGTCCGCTCGGCCGGGGACTGCTGGTCAGCTCCCGGCCTGGGAGGGCAGCTCATCGCCATCAGCAAGGAAACCAACCGCGTCGTCGCTGTCAGCCGATCGCTCCCCCCGCCGGATCCCAAGACACTGATCCACCACAAGAAGCTCTGCATCAAGCTCCTGGGAAACACCATGCACTACCAGCCGCAAAATGCAAACACCAAAAGCAAGCACGGGTATGGGGGATTGCCCCCGCCATACATCAGGAACAAGGACGGGAAAATGGTTCGCAACCCCGAGTACATCGCGGCAATGACCGAGGTCAGCGATGGGCTCAACAGTTCCGACATGGGGGGCGGACGGCTGGCCATGGCGGAGGTCGACGAGCACAAAGAGGAGGAATGAACCTGTGTTATGGATAAAGGATTTGCTGATACTTCCGGAAAAAACGAAATGGAGCCTGCTGCATTTCGGACTGTGGAATAAAATCGGTGGCACTACCCAACTCAGCGCACAGGCCAAGGGAATGGTGTCATTGTCCGTACTTCGGTGGACTATCCTTCTTAAAACTCTAGTTCGATGATCGAGGTGTCATGAAATCAAAACAAAAGAGTTTCATACGGTGGTGCGTACGTAAAATCCAGAAGTGATGGGATCATCGGTATTGTATATTTGCAATTGAAAAAAGGCAGCCGTTAAAGTAAAAACACATAATGTTTATTATCAGTCATGTACTGGTGTCTTTTGTTTTGTAAAAATAGATTTGTAATTTGAACGGTTGGTTCCGGAAAACAACAAACCAAAGTTTCCTAGATGACCACAAGAAATGGATAGCTATTTATGGAATAAGGAAGTTTTTGATGAACAACCACATTTTTAACCAAGTGAATAATATATACAAAATCACCCCTTGCTTGCTTGATAGTAATACAGGGTGAAAGTGTTTCTTTTGAATATCTTTGCTACAATTTATTCTGTGCACTGGCACACTTTGGAACTACCTTATTTGCTTCCTTCTAGTTCACTACTAAATTATATAAAACACCACTAAAGTTTTTAGTTTCAACAGAGCTGTAGTCACTGCAACAATTGAGGAAATTGAAGGATATATCAACAGGTCTTAGTATCCAAAACAAGCAGTTTTTAGGATTTTTGGGACAATGTAGTACTAGAAGTAAGAGTATGACTCTAGTGCAATAGTCTTTTTGATTATATATATATAATGGAACAACCAAAGGAGCCAAAGGACAAGATGTTCCCGGCAAGCTCCTCCTCTGAATTGTCTTCCATGAGGCACGGAAGCAAGGCTCTACAAGACCTATTGAAATTGAAAAGTCTCCTACTAGTGAGTACTGCTGATCTATGTAAGTTGGGACAAGGAGATGAACAAGCACCAGCAGCAGAAAGCCCCAAACGCCTCTGCAAATGGATACAGATTCTGATAGCTCTGCATCCATGATGCCTTTCAGAACACCTCCTGCTGTTGTTGATCCAAGGACTGTCCCTCTCCCTGGTGGGACTCCACCATCTAATATTTTTTTCAAGTCTAGTATCCTTTCCACATAGGGGACCAGGAAATTACTGAAAAGCTACTTAAAAGGTACTTTTCAAGCTACTTTAAAGTTGCTTGAAAAGTACTTTTGGATAGGCTTTTCAGTAGTTGCTTTGCAGTAACTTTACAGTCAACTTCTGGTAAGCAAAAAAATGGTTTCAAATAATAGTTTCACAAATCCTCCCAAATTTTGACTTGCAAATCTGGTCTCTTGCAGCACTGGGGATGATCATAAGTACTTGTTTGAGTTTGAAATAAGACTATTGATTTCTAACAGGTTATGAGTACAAAAAATGCGCCAGTTTTAGCTATCTTTGCTTGCTTCTTAGTAACGCTAACAAAAGCACCAATCAGAATTAGAGAATCTGTCAGTCAGAAAGGGTTGATACATGTRTATATTGTATGGGTTTCTTGCCAGAGAACCTTTTTGGGTTTCTTGATATCTCTGTGTACCAAAAACTCCAAAAAACTCATTAACACAGAACAACCTCCAGCATAGCAAGCTGTTACCTCCTTAGTTCTTTGTCAATATCCAACCAATTACTACTGCACTCACAGGGCAAGTGATCTAATCCTTACGTTAAAGGGAAGAGGATCTGGAAGTTGCAGATCAATCAATTAAGTGGTTTAGAAGCAACAGGAGATCTAAGCAACAGTGAAAATCTTTGTGAAAATAGCAAGAGAAGAAGCTGCAGTGCAACCAGCAAAACAAGCATATCGCTGGCTTCTTCTGAATCAAACAAGCAACACAACCTATTCATTATAACAAGGGGAAGGCGATCCTGAAGTTTTGGATCAATTGGCCGAGTATTTTGAAAAAAAAACAGTTTTTGGCTGTATTTTGGTACCAAGATGAACAACAACAACAACAACAACCACACCCCAGGGCCTCCAAGACAGCCTGCTATATTCCCAGTACTATCAATCTGGTCAGTTACCAAGATATACTACATGGCAACTCATGCTGAAAAAATTAGCTTCTGGGACAGTTGGAGTATCTTTTGCAGTTGGCAAAAAAGAAAAAGCAGCAGCAGCAAAAAAAAAAACAACAAAAACAAAAACAACAATGAAGATGCGGCCACCAGCAGCAGTACGTTGCAGTTGGATCAGTGCACACAGAACACACTGTTGTGGCGTGTGAAACAACAAAACTGGCTGCTGAGAACTTGTTTGGATCAAGGTCTAGAGGCCTCCAGTGCTCTGTGAAGAAGAACTATGTTACTTGCTCATTTTAGTGACAAAGAAGCCAGCAACAAGGCCTTGCAAAGAAGAGTACAGCAATACATGAAAAGGATGGTTAAGAGACTTCTGGGCCCTCCAAACTCCCTTGATTGTACTAATGGTGGTGAAGGAGGAGAACTATCATGTCTAACCTCTTCCAAGGAAAGTCCTAATGCATTTATCAACTTGGAGGAGCTGGCAAAAATATCTGGCCTAACTGTTGAAGACTTGATAGCAAAAGTATCCATTATAACCCCCCCCCCTGCAGCAACAGCAAGGAAGGATGATACTAAGGAGGTAGGCTAACTAGCTCCACAACTACTAGACGAGGGTCCTGATAATCCTAAACAAGCTCATATCAAGACAGTAAACAAGTTTCTTCAGAAATGAGCTCACAATGATCATGCGTATGAAGCAGCTGCCAAGAAAGTCAGGTATGAGCAAGAAAATATGCCACCAAACTCCTGTTCATCTGTTACAAGCATCATGTCTCAAGTAAAGTTTCTTTACAAAATGTCATTGAAGGCAAACACCGTCAGAYRACATTTGAAGGAYRGCYTCAKGYCCCCYGGKYGTGSYYKGAAAAWTTTGCTAYCACCAGCAATCAAAGCASCACTAGCTGAGGCAATGTTATTGTTTGTTGCTTTAGCATGTGAGGAAAAGGAGATGATTCCCCAATGTAAAGAATTTGTCTCAATCTTGAAAGCGTGTCTTTTACCTGGTTCATGTCTGCTAAACAATTTTGTGAGTCTCTATCAACGTTTACTCCCATTGTTCACAGAACACTTGAAAGTTGCCAAAAGCAAAACAAAAATTGAAGAGCACCAACTGAAGTAGACTACGTACAATAACATTAATAGTACTTGGTTTAATACACTTGAGGACACACTTGTCCCAAAAGGATTTGCCAGAATGAAACAAGACAACAAAATTCTGGAAGGTCAGCTCGTGCTTTTCCTGGGCAACTAAATTGAATTATCAGCAACTTGGATGAATCAGGATTGACACTGGACAGGAATGGGAACTAAGCTGGAGGAAGGCTGTCAACAGCATATGCTGGATCTGCTGATAGATATGTTGGATGTGGAGCTGACAGGACAAACAAAAGCAGTTCACAAATCACTTTGTTTGCTGGTACTAGCAACACTGCTGGTTATCCTCTGCAACCACACTTCCGATTGAAATCAAATACCACCAAAGAGAAGAAGAAGTGAATCCATGAATTATTTGTGAACGGTGTTCAAAACACAAAAGGCAAATACAACAGTGATTGTATCACAAGCAATGGAACTACAGTGAATTGCAACATGAATGCAGGAATGGATGGTGAAGTGTTTGAAAAATATATATTGGATGCAATTGTTAAGCTTTATCCACCAGATGCTGCAGAATTGCCAGGCAAACGCATAATGTTGATCATTGACAGCAGGCCAGGAAGAAACAATGAAGCATTATTGGCAAGCCTTGCAGCTCTTGGTTTTCTTCTTCATCCTGGGGTACCCAATACAACGCATGGATAATGTTACACAGCCAATGGATTGTAATTATGATTATTTCAAAACCCTGTACTGAAAAAATATGGAAAAACTTGCACACCACCCACACCTGAAAAATGATAGTCTGCGGCAGTCAGATTATCCGCTTTTAGTTTTTGGTAAGAATTGCAATGGCTGGAATGAGCACATGGCTTTGGATTTTGCTTTTGATGAGGCTTTTTACAATAGACCAATGCAAAGACCTATGGATAAGCATTTGAATTGCACTGTTCACTTCCAAATGCCTACAGGACCAAAAGGTGCAACACAAACTTATTGTACGATGCTGGATTTAACGGGGAAGTTTTTTGGAAAAATGCACCACAAAAGAGTAAGCAGTTTGTAGAACAAGTGACAGCAGAACCAAATACAAGAAGGGCTTGGTGGCAAGATGCAATTGCAGGTGTTAAATATTCAAGCCAGCACTCCATCACCAGCTTTTTGGACTGATGCTGAGGAGGCTCCTCTGTTGCAGAGACTGAAAAAAGATGAGATAACTATCAGGGAGACTACATATAGTAGTGGTAGTAGAAGAAGGTAGAGAGAGAGAGCAGAGAGAGAGAGAGAGAGAGATTGAAGAACCAACAAGCACTGTCATTCATAGTAGCAAGCTTGACCAAAGAAGAGAGAGTTGCTTCCATTACTATGCCTATTGAAATACTGGAGGGAGTCCTCACCACCCAAAGGATTAGTAGTACTAGTTGATGCTGGTGCTGGTAATCCTGGTGCTGTAGTTGTTGAAGTTGCTGAAGTTCTGTAAGAGGAGTACTAGCTTCCAGTAGTAAGCAATTTATGTTAAGAGAAATCTGTCCTTTGGAAGGGGCGATTTATATTTGGTAGTGTTTGTTCTATATTCAATTTAGCAGATCTGAATTCTCAATCTCAAAAAGTGAGCAAAAAAACATAGTTTATTTTTATTTTTATTTTGTGACAGCTTGCCCCTGCTGGTCGGAATTAAGAATACTATATTGTTCCACAGTGTAGAGCACCGTAAAATTAATACTGGGCCCTCCGGTACCCATGCGCACATCCCCCTTTTTGAATTCCTCCCCTAGGAAAACGTGGGTTATTTTTGGTGAAAAATAACCCATGTTTCTAAAACGTGGGTTTTTTAATTTGAAAAATAACCCACAAAAGAACCCAGGAACCCACAAATAACCCACAAAAGAACCCACGAATAACCCACAAATTTACAGTCATCTGGGATGATGGAGAACCAAGGATGTTAAGTATTTTAGTCATTAACAGCATTATTTAATCACTGTTTTTAATTTTTGGAAAAAGGCCCAGCAGGTTTGTGGGTTTTTCGTGGGTTATTCATGGGTTATTCATGGGTTATTTCATGGGTTATTTGTGGGTTCACCCAGGAACCCAGGAACCCACGTTTTAAAACATGGGTTATTTTTTGTGAAATAAAACCAACGTGGGTTATTTTTTGTGAAAAAAAACACGAAATCATACCTCCGATATTAGATTTCAAAGGGGGGACGCGCCACACGCGCGTTGGTTCCGGAGGGCCCTGTTAAAAAACTGTCACGTCGTAATTCGGACCCAAAGGGTACTGGTACCAAGTACTCGTACGTAAATCTGTGCCACATGGAATTTGCTGCAGTAGGTGAGTCGTAGATCCAGGGACAATCATCATTGACTATTTTACCACGCCGGGCACGCTACCAGGCAATAGTCTGGCAATAAGAATGGTAACTTGCTGGCGACTGAAACTTTTGGAGGGGGCTAGGAGAATCTAATTATTATAGAAAATATTTATGGTAAAATGGTAGCTACCAGATTTCGACTAGAATTGCTACCAGATTGCTACCATAATTGCTACCAGATGGTAGCAATTTTAGTCGCAAGATGGTAGCAAATCTGGTAGCAATTCTGGTAGCAATAGTTTCTTGGAGGTTCCCCGGGACTGGAAATTGGTTTTATGGACGTCTGTAGTACAAAAGCTGTGTAGAAAGCGCTGTAGAAAACAGCAATTCAAGGGAATTCTTCTATTTATGCTCAACTTTTATGTGAATTAAGTGTTTACCATGACGGGTACCAGAATCTGGTAGAATTTATGGTAGCAATCCAGTCTACCAGAATGACTACCAGATGGTAGCTATAATTGCTACCAGATTGCGACCAGAAATGCTACCAGATTGCTACCACAAACGCTACCATAATATATGCCGCGCTACCAGAAATATTTTTTAAATTCTCAAAGCCCCCTCTTAAGTATCTGTGTTAACCAGCGCCTTCTGTTTCCATTCTAGTAGCGGGTCTAGTAGCAAAGATACGTGGTAAAATCTTCAATGATGATCGTCCCAGTAGCTTAGAGTAACTGATAATGAGTCGTTTCGTAACGTCCCTGGATAGCGGTGCAAACGTGTCAACAACTTGCCAGTTGCCAGCACAGGACTTGTACAGGTACGTGCGTACCATAGTTAGCACAGCAGCTCCAGAAAGAAGACTAGATTCTAGATTGTCGGATGCGTTGACCTATTTTTTTTTTTAATTTTTACTATATTTTTCTCTTTCCTGTGTACTAACGGTTTTTGACCGAGGACTTCTTTTATTATTTTTCGGCCTTCGTTTGGTACAGTACGGCGCACTCAACCTTATCGACAGGAGACGAGAGAAAGATCCAGTCATTCTTCTTGTCTTCACGCATGCAACTGTTAAGCGGTCATGATGATTCTACTACAGGGTACGAGTACTGGTACGAGTCCTCGAAATCCGAAATCCTATACCCTGGGAGGAGAAGGCACAACAGTTCCACTGATAACGTACCGTGGGTACAAGTACGTGCTGTATCCAGAGAAACGAACGAACCAACCGTATCCAATCTTACACAAGTCTCATAGAATCCAACGCTTCCCCAATTCACAATATCAGAATCCTATTTCATCAAACCGTAATACGCAATACTATTATCCACCATGCCCGCCAAGCAAGAACTCGACGTCTTCATCCACGACATGCTCGCTATGAGTGCCTTCTGCTACCACTTCCATAGCATCCGCACCATCGTTCGCAGCAAAGACAACACAACAGTAAAGACCGGATTCCTCGGTTTCGGCAAGCCCCGTGAGATCAAGTTCTTCCGCCCGGAACTGATCATCACTCGCAACTCAGGTATCGAAAGAGACCCGAACCAGCAGCTCCTCCACGACATCACCCCAGCCGCCATCCAGGAGTTCATCGAGAATAACCGCAGCTTGTTTCAGGACGACGACATGGACGGATCTCTTGAATTCGACCCTTCGGACACAAAGAAGGACGAGCCGTTTCTCGTCGAAGGAGTTCTCAAGGAACAGATGGAGGACAACCTCAAGATCATTGATTACGTAAGTTGTTTTTGTTGTTGTACTTCTGTTGTGGACTACGGTTGTGGTCTACTGTGATACTGTAGTCACTGTACCCCTCACTCCCTTTCATCCTACATCTGTTTATCGCCACGTTATTATCTGTTTTGCATTGCATTTGCATTGATTTTATTTGCAGGATGACCGATTCAGCACTGACAAGGGTGGGCTCGTTTACATGATCGTCACCAATCTCACGCAGAAAACGATCACCGTCTGCTTCCGCGGCACCATCGGCACCACCGACATGCACACCGACCGCGACTTCAGGCTGAATACCGAGGCTTTCTTCGGGAGCGAAGATGACTTTTCGGTCCCTAAGTCCGAATCGCACAATCCCGCGACGCACAACGGCTTCACGACCTACCTCACCTCGAACCGGGAAACTGATTCCATTGAGCGCCCCTACGCGCAGCGAATTCTAGCGTGTCTCAATGCCGAGTTCGGCAATAACAAGGATGTCAAAGGAAAGGGCTTCAAACTCTTCGTGACCGGCCACAGCCTCGGCGGAGGCCTAGCCAACCTCTTCGCCTTCCGAGCTGCCCAGCTTAAGGCGCGTGGCGACAAGGCCGTCGAGCACCTGCCCGATATGATCAAGGCGCTGACCTTCGCCGCCCCCTGCGTCGGCAACGAGGGCTACGAGGCAGAATTCCAGGCCCTCGAGAAGAAAGGGTTCCTCCGCCACATTCGCGTCGCCAACGAGGAAGACGTCGTCCCCACCAACTGCATCAGCTTACCCTTTTCGTTAGCCATCAAGGGTGACACAAGCTTGTACCGCCAGAACGGCGTGAACCTCCAGTTTCACCCAGACAAGACTTGCGACATCGTCTACGGGAACACCAAGAGCATGTTGTCCCAGTTTAGCCCCACCAGGAGCCTGAACACCCACTATCTCACCGAGTACCGCGTAAGGGTGGGCAAGCCCGAAAACGAGAAAGTGTATGATCAGACCATTGAGGACATCTACAAGGAAGCCACCAACAACTTTGCCGCATAAATTCTTGTACGTGATTTAGTTGTGAGTGAATAAGTATGTTGTCTTATGTTTGCCGTTGGTAATGTGGTATGGTTTGGCTTGCTTTTGTTGCCAACTTTTGTTGGGCAAGAACGAATGATTTATCGGTTGTATCGGAACATGTTCTTTCTTTTCTAATAATAAGATACAAAGATTATAGCAAGAAAAATTGATGGTATTCTCTTGATCACGAATACGGTAGTGTGCACGGACCATGAGCCAGTATTGCTCGCAGCGCTGATTCTTGCTGATACTATAAGACTTGTGTTTAATGAGCACATGTAAAAATCGCTCGCCTTGTGCAGGTTGACTAGCGGTTGATGATTCATTTTTGTTGTGCAATTTCGTATCGAATTGAGATATTTCGAATCAATCTATGCTTGATGATAAAATAGCTTTGGGTTAGCTCAACTACACCACATTTGGCTTTGTAGACAAACTATGACTTTCTCGCTCCTCTTATTCGCTATTGGGCAAGATGTTGGGGGGGGATGGACTTTGCTCATGCAGTAAAAGACACCACAGCCGATTTTTGAGCAGGGGAGAGAAAAGCTGGTAGGTTTTCGGACCGGCGATTGCCTCAGCCAATATGGAACGTGTGGGAATCGCCATGACCGATGGTTCGGCTGTCTTTTCTATTGGACATTTTGATGGTTTCTTTCCATTTGAACGGGAGTGTGTCCTTGGTGGAAATTCAACTTTTCGAAAGCAGTTCGTTCATCCAGGCCTGCCAATGCACTCATGACGCGATCTAAGACTTCACTGATACAAATGTACATGTTCCATGAGCTGGTCGCTCATTGAGGAGACTACAGAATGTTGAGAAAACTTCTTCCTTCAGCTCGCACAAAATCATCAATAGTTGTGCATTCATCTCCAGCTGCTTCCTCCTCGTTGCTATCGTCATGGTTCATTTCAGTATCTATGCAACTAGCACAAAATGTGGTAGCTTCCGTGACCGATGGATAAGACTGATTTTTTCAAGGAGGACATGATGTTTGCACATGCTTCTAAAAGATTTTTGCTGAAGTAAGAATAACATGGTGCAACAGCATTCATTATGTTTGGTCTAGCGGAGAAGACAAATGTGAATTAGTCATCCATATGACGTCGATCCTAAAGCTTACCAAGTTTCTCATCTAGAGCTGACGATTGCATCTCAGCCATGAGACTATTGGGCCGCGTCCCCAAAGTGACGATGTCGCTTTGAGCATAGTCTATTATTGATTCCTCCAATACAGCGATAAATGTTGATACCACCATTCCCTGATTGATTTTGAGATAGGAGGAAAGCTGACATAACTCCGAATATTCTGTCATCAAATGCAAGTATTCATCTCATGAATTAAATTGTAGTGCAACAGAGTTTGAATGTAGCATAACATTCAATAACACTACAACTTTGGTTGTTGGAGGATCCCTTCGGTACTAAAAAGTTTGTAGTATCACTTCATGCTGGCATATCTTGTCGTGATCATGATGTAAACATAGATTTTGAACGGATTCCGTTCTTTGTACCGTACTGCTGCCTGAACATTAAACCGCCATTCGCATGTTCAGTGGATGATAGTCCCTACATTAATCCATTCGTTATTTTCTAAGAGGCGTATGATTTTAATGATATCTATTATTACTTCTTGATAAAGACAAACAAACGTTTGCGGTAGTTTACAATAACTGATTTTATACAAGCATACACATATGCATACCTGTTACAAAAATGCTTCGTAGAGCGGAATAGAACTTTTCATGCTGAGAAGGACTTGCAAGTTTTCTTTTTCGAAGATTCGTTGCATTATCGACTTACTTCGCTACGACACCGTAAGTAGCTGGAGACCGAGCCCCAGACACATGACCAACACCAGATTCTTGAAGAGGACGGGGTCGATCCGTTCGCTGGCCCACTGACCGGCTACGATGCCCAGGAGAACTCCCGGAAGGGACGTGAGACAGAAGTAGCTGTAATAGAATCCCCCCAGTGATCCCTGTGCTGCGTCAATGGCAACCACCAGAGCAGAGTTCAGGCAAACAACTGCGAGGACGTTGTTTCGGAACCGCGCTGGGGACCACCCCTTGGCGTCTCCGTAGACGCAGAGTGGCGGACCCTGGACGTCAAAGGCACCCCCAAAAATCCCCGCGGCGCTACCAAACAAAATCGCGGCCGTCTGGGACTGTAAAAATCCGTCGGTTGGTTCAGGTTCCGTGGCGACAAGGGAAGTAATTTCGTTGTCGGCCATGCTTTCGTCACTGCTTAGGGCGTCCTGAATTGTCGGCACCAGCTTATACCCGACAAAGCCCATAATGAGGGCAGCTAGGACCCTCGTCGCCAACAAGGGATCGACCATATTGTTTAGCTGGATGCCAACTGGAGTCAGCACGGTGCAGGGGATCAGAAGGGGCAAGATCTGGTCCCACTCCAACCCGGGTTCCTCCTCCGTTACGGTCTCAGTAAAGGCGTATGGAATCAGCAAGATAAACCCCACTAGTGCACCGAGGGTGGCAGCAACCGGTGTGATTACCCCGAAGAGTTCGCTGTGCAGGAGCCACGGCATGCTGCTCATGGCCCCTACTGCCACAACGGCAAAACCAAATCCAGTGAGAGCCTGAGCAAAGGCAGAAAAGGCCATTACCAGAGCCACAACCAGCTGGGCCTCCTGAAACTGGCCTGGGAACCAGGAGATTTTCGACAGAACGTTTAGCTTCTGGTGGAGATCCATGGCCAGGAAGGTGTCCGAGATCTCGCCGCTATTCAGCAGTGTGTTGCACAAAAAGACAATCACAAAAGCGATTGTGAACAGTGGGCCGAGGACATCGGCACTGGTCAGCTTGGACATAAGCGAAATTTCGGTTTCGTCGCTTTGGAGTTCAGAGTCCGCCATAGCATCCATAAGGGACATGTCGTTCTCGGCACTGATTGGAGCAAGGGTCCAGGCGCGCTCGGCTTTAGCAACCGATGCCTGGTTAGCTACGGTAGTATTTGTGGCTGCTATTGAGGAATCGATTCCGCTCTTCGTTTCGGAAGTGGACTGCAGGGAGGAGGAGGAGACCGTTCGTCGATGTGACAATCGCATGTGCGAGATCACAGTCAATCCGGCTCCAGGCTGCTCATGTTGTGATGGTTCAAATCCGGGTCTATGGTTCTTATGGATCTTAGCAGAAAAGGATTCTACGCGATTTGTCGAGGTTGCCGCCAACAGGGCAAGTGCTGCAACCGAAGTGAACTGCGCCGTTCGGAATCGTCGCGATGCCGAAGCGGATTGTCCAGGTGAAGAAAAAGCTCGGTTGTCGTTCATCTTTGTTCTATGCATGCTGTGTGTACGATTAGAGGAAGAACGATTCTGTATCAGTTTCCCTACCCTGTTTTGTTTTGGTTCCCAATTCGGTGAGATATCCCTTTGATGCTACTCCTTCTATGTAATAGAATCGAAAACAATCGATCGATTTGTTGTGTGAGATGAAGGTTTTCGTTTCTGATATATTAAGAATAAATGTGTAAACCGATCGAAGTTCGAAAACCAAATGAAAGCTAGGTGACGAAACTAACCTTGGAAGAAACTTCTATTGCACGTAAAGCAAGACAGTCTCGTCGATAATGCTGGTGGAGGGTAGGTGGTGTTGATTCTGAAGACAAACCGTGCCTTACCGTATGGCCCACTTCTTACATCTTCACAGTACAACATTCCAGTACGAGTACACCACAAAATCCCTATCGACGAAGGATGGATTAATCGTCGATGATTGATGAAGAGGTAAAAGAACATCCATTTGTACGGACCGCAATACGATATTCTTGACAAAAATCTCAGAAATTTCACTAGAAACAAAGCACGTTTCTACTTCTATCTGTATATCAGTAGTTGTTCTACGAGAGGCCAATCGTATGGTGTCAAAAAAGAACAAACATAATGAATGAATCATCACCATCGTCCAATGGAATGAATGAATCATGATCTCGTGCCTGTGATTGGCAGATCGTATGCCTGATGCGTGGTGATACGAGCGCGTGCGTTCAGATCGTTTAAAGTATTTCTTGGTTGATTCTCCTTAGGATTTAGAGTACGGGGTACTGCCGGTACGTACCTCCGACTTCAATTCTCGAAAAGGAATTTATCGGTGGTAACGAACTTCAAAGAACAACGATGCAATCCAACTAGGCAGTTCAATTGGGTACGAGTACGTACGAGTACGAGTATGAGTTAGAGTTTTGGTTAGGGTTCTCGCCGCTGACGTATCTCTTCAACATCCTGCTACAGCAAGGTACTCTTTCACATTAGTACGGTAGGTATCGATCATACGGTAAGTACTTGTACCTGGAAAAATGTCGTCGCGATTATTCCTTGGTGTCAACAACGCGACCAAAATATTTTGGGTTATCTGCTGTTTGTAGGGTACGTACCAACACTGTACGTACTCGTACTCGTATGTATCTACTCTTAACTCTTAACCGTAGGTACACTCGTGATTTGGGGTGAGACCAGAGTTCCTTCTTTTCCAAGGATGGTACCGTACAGTAGTAAAGTAAGTACCGTATATTCCATAACAGCATACGTAGACAAGTTTTTACAGTTGCCGCCATATGGTTGTTTTGAACCAGACAAAATCTTTGCAAGCTGCTCTGATTCGAAAAAGAAGAAGAAGAACCAAGAGAGAACACGAGAAAGAATAAGAGCAATCACGGCAGACAGACACGAACAATTCCAAAGTGCAGAAAATACACGAAGCTAGCATTACAATCCATAGTACCAGGTACGTACGTACCTGTAGTACTGCAGTACAGTCTCTGTAAGTCTGTCTATCGCTCTACAACAAATTGCGGCGTTGCACTAGATGATTCTTCGAACCGAAACGGAAACAGTCAAAAATATTTGGATACCATACCGTGCGGTACACTTCGTACGAGTACTACTCGTACTACAACCATTGGAACTGAAGAGACCAGACAGCAACTTCTCTTTCGCCTTTCGGCAACCGCTCGAATAGACTAACAGTAATAACAGCAGACAACTACTGTACCGAACCATACATCACAGCACCTTGGACAAAAAAGAGCAGCAGCAACTAAAGCTACTGCAATAATATCCATTACGAATCCGCAACTGCAGTCGGCAACCAACAACGCAGTCGACGTAGAGCAAACGAAACTGAAAACAAGATGTCATTGCTTGCCACAGCTCAATCTTCGCGTCGTAGTGCGCTTTCTCTCGGAAAGGTAAGATCCAACGCAACGAAACGAAACGAAACCTACGAATGGGATTGGATGAATTTGATGTAACAAAATAGAACGAATCCCTATCGATTTGCTGCTCGGGGCATGATGGTATCCAATACCAACCAATCCAGCGTGCATGATGCCACGCGGTCGGAATATCTCGGGACGAAATGCAGACAACGCCACTCGATGCCATGCAACGCAATGTAGTGCAGTGCAGTGCAACTCGTTAGAGATCATCACTGACAGATGGCTTGGTAGCGTGACTTGCGTTGCCATTAAACGAATCCAAGATGAGAACGATACGAATGATTCTGTTCTTCGTTCCGTCATATCACAAAGGAGAAGAAAACGCGGAATCGCTTTGCCAATTGTCACGCTGTCGATAATGCCGATACGTACAAATGCAGACAGACGCACACCCATAAAACGGAGCACATGATAGCTTATTGGAATTGTCTTTATTTTGTCCATTTGCTAGCATCCAATTCGAGTAATTCGTTTCCTATTCAATCAAAAAATCTCATTTTTGTCTTTCCTTGTTTGGTTCTATCTTGAACTACTTTTCGTTGCTTGATCCGACTGTGAAGCGAGCACTCTCCGCAATGGCCGCGTCTGAGTCTTCGCCGGCGTCCTCCTCCTTTCCATCGTACGTCCTCAAGGCCCCAACGACAGACGTGACAACTTTACCGAATGGACTCCGGGTCGGTAGCGAAACCACGGTTGGCGCGGAAACTGCAACAGTCGGGGTCTGGATCGATTCCGGATCCCGTTACGAAACGGAGGCCAACAATGGGGCCGCTCACTTTTTGGAGCACATGGCCTTCAAAGGAACTTCAAAGCGGACACAGAGGCAGCTGGAAGAACAGATCGAGAACATGGGTGGACATCTCAATGCCTACACGTCCCGAGAGCAGACGGCCTACTTCGCGAAGGTCTTCAAGAAGGACGTACCGGTGGCCATGGAGATCATAAGCGATATTCTCCTCAACTCCAACCTCGAGCCTCAGGCAATCGAGCGAGAGCGGGAGGTCATTCTCCGCGAGATGGAGGAAGTGAACAAGAACCAAGAGGAGCTGGTCTTAGATCATCTTCACGCCACTGCCTTTCAGGGCACCCCTCTCGGCCGCACCATTCTAGGATCGGAACACAACATTCGAACCCTCACCCGGGACCAGCTCGTTGACTACATCACCACCCAGTACACGGCCCCGAGAATGGTTGTAGCTGGGGCCGGAGCTGTCGACCACGACGAGCTATGCGGCCTAGCAAGCGAATGCTTCGGGGCCCTACCCACCGAAAGCCCAAACGCCCTGTCGTCGGACTCCTCATACGAACCCGCCACCTTCACCGGGAGTGACTACCGTGTGAAGTTTAATTCGGAGGACGTCGGATACATGGCCGTGGCCTTTCCCACCGATTCCTGGACGTCCGAGTACGCCTTTCCCCTTATGCTCATGCAGCTCCTGCTGGGCTCCTATGACCGTGCCTCGGGCATGGGTCACAACTACGCCTCCAATCTCTGCCAGGATGTTGCTGAAAACGAGCTCTGCTACTCCCTCAACACCTTTAACACTCACTACAAAGATACKGGTCTTTTTGGTGTCTACGCCGTCTGCCCCGATAACAAGATCGATGATGCTTCTTGGTACATCATGAACAACCTCATCAGATTAGTCCACTCGGTTGGTGACGAGGAGGTCGAACGTGCCAAGGTCTCCCTAAAGGCCGCCATGCTCTCGAACCTCGACGGGCACAACAACGTAGCCGAGGAAATCGGTCGCTCCCTGCTGAACTACGGCCGCCGCATGACTCCCGCAGAGACTTTTTGCCGGATCGATGCCGTCACGACCGACGACATCAAGGCGACGGCCTACAAGTTTTTCAACGACAAAGACCATGCGTTGGCAGCCGTAGGAGGTATTCACGAGCTGCCTGATTACACATGGTTCCGCCGGCACTCTTACTGGTTGCGGTATTAGTTGCAAATGCAACGGAGGAAACGACAGATGGGTGACGCAAAACGAGAAGACTGATTACGAGCCAAGCATCATCGGACGACAGTCATTAATTTTTGCCGTAGCTTTTTGTCTTTCTAATATTGCTCGAAAAGGAACCCAAGTAAAACACGCACTGTACGAAACAAAAACAGTGACGAACGCACGATGTTCGATCCAATATTTCACCTGAAGTTTAGTAGTTATGAAATAATGATAACAAGCACGTAGAATACAACAAACCGTAGCACTGCGGTTGTGAGTTATGAATAGACTCCCTCGTGTAAGATTTGACGGAACGTGTGTGTGTGTGTTATCTTCCGGGTAGTGCACTGATGCTATTCGTTTCGTTATGAAATCCTACTCCTCTGTCAAATTTTGAAAGATTTTTGTGTTTGCAAATATATTGTATCTTGATAATGAAATAGAACGGAATGAAACGATTTGTACACGTGAGGATTGAATGACAAGAAGGACTCTATGAAAAGAACGAATGAAAGGAACGCAAATAGCTTACCTGTCGGGAAATACGAGTTTGAAGTTTACCTTTGCTTTCGCCCTGCCGGAAATGCCGATGCACGGTGGCAGTTTTCATGAGCACGTATTGATCCTCAAGTCAAGCAAGAATCGCACTTCTTTGGGCAGAGATCCTTTACGAGTAGGCGCTTCTTTGCTTTGGTATCGCAGGATGGTTGATTCTGTTTTCCAACATTTCTGCACTTGTATGATCCCTTGAAAATATGCTTTCTGTTCTTCTTGATTGAAAACCTTTTCTTATCTTTGCAAATGCACCGACGGTCGCACACCCCAGGGCAGGCCTGCTTTGGTACCTTTTTCCTGCATAATGCATTCCTTTCTCTATCGCTAAGTTCTGACAATTCGTTGCATTCAATATATTTGCGTTTGATTGTGAAGCCTTTCTCGTTCGCACAGTCAGAAGAAACGAGGTGACCGCAAGAGTCGTTGCTCGTTTGACACCAGGGTCCCTTCGTTTTATCTGGATCAGAAGTGTTAGGACATGCACTGTTGTCAAACATGCCAAAAACAGAAACATAGTCTGGAGTCTTTTCAGCCCATGAGCCTAGGCATTGATTAAAATTAGTAGCTCCGTCAAACATGAGAAACATGTGAGCCACAGCTGACACATCCCATTCATCTAGGGGTTGGTTGAAATGCGAAGAATAAAACATGCGACCCATTCCTTCGACAGATGAAGTATTCCATGTTCCAATAGGTTGGTCAAAACTTGTTGTATTTGAAAACATCCCACTCATGTCAGTAACACTGGACGTATCCCAATCACCAATAGGCTGATTGAAGTTCTGACCGCCGAGCATCCCCCGAGCATTTTTCAGACTTGAAGTGTCCCAATCGCCAATGGGCTGATTGAAATCGTACGCCACGTAAAACATTTTCATGGCGTCGGTCAAACTGGACATATTCCAATCACTAATAGGCTGGTTGAAATCGTGCGCCGCAAAAAACATGAACTGGGCGTAGGTCACTCTGGACATATTCCAATCACCAACAGGCTGATTGAATCTGATTGCTCCATGAAACATATACGCCATGTCATTCACGCCTGACACATCCCAATCACCGATTGGCTGATTCAAGTAAGATGCACGAAAAAACATGCCGTTCATGCTTGTCACACTGGATACATCCCAATCACCAATAGGCTGATTGAAGGAAGATGCATAAGAAAACATTTTTTTTAGTAGAAGTCACACTCGACATGTTCCAAACACCAATGTTGGTGTTTCTTAAAAACGTCGTCCGTGAAAACATGTAGTCCATGTTTGTCACACTGGATACATCCCAGCAACCAATATCCTCTTCAATGTACCGACCCAAAAATGCATAATTCATATCAGTGACACCTGATGTATCCCAGCAATTCATTGGGAGGTCGTACATGCAGTACGTAGCATTACAGCTGTATACTATGCGCGAAAAATCTTGCCCCGAAACACCGATAACAGGACGTTCATTGGGGCACGCAGTGGTACAATCGATGATACTGTCTGCAATACTATCAGAGGCTCCGCCATAGTTATGGATGACAGAGTCAGCAGAATGAGGAGTGTCACTGAAACGAACTTTGTTACCACCTGAAACTGCCGATTGGTCGAATATACCCATGTCTGGTGTATCATAAGGAGGGGGAGCATAAGCCGTTTTAGTTGGACTATTTTGGAGCTCTCTAAGACTCACGCCACTATGCGTCAACGTTTCGTTCTCCATAAGATGGACATCGAGAAGTGGGATCGAAAGAGAAATAGTTTCAGAACCACCTAGGCGACTATTTGAGAGTTCTTCGTTAGTACTCATTTCATGATTCCAGTCATAATCCTCGTCATTTGTGGCGGATCCAAGGGCAGCAAGGGCTGCAAGAGACCCAACAGCAAAGCGCATGATTGAAACTTGAGGGTTGGAAGTGGTCGTCTGATCTTTACTGATGTTCATTGATGATAAAGAAAGCAAAAATAGAAATGAGGAGATGATAGTAGTGAGAATTGTTCGATCCAATACATATTCAACGATCAAGCTATTGAATGACTTGAGGATTTGCGTCTTGGTGGCCAAAAGCTTGTCGATGGCTATGTTCCTCCTTTCGACGAAGATTGTATCTTGCGTTCACTGCCAGTTAGATTCGACAAATTAAATAGTACTCTTTCCTCGCTGGTGTTGCCAGCGGTTTTGTTCCTCCCTGAGATATCCGAGACACATTTGTCTCGGCCTGTTCATTGGATGGACAGAGATTTAGCCTTCTTTCACTGGCGGACGGATTTGGGCATTTTCTGAACCATGCGTACGTGGATTCGTTTCTACTTATTGATAGACCTAACGAAGATGACGTTCTGCCGGCGGATGGACCAGAACAGAGTCCTCAGTCGCGCCTTGTTGCTCTCGGGCTTACATTGCCGATGGCTGTGCTCTCTTTGATAGATCCGGGACGTTGATTGCCTTGATGTAGATCGCACCCAGAGCCTTGGTGGAAACAATAAGGCGTGTTTTCTTCGTATGTGGTACCGATCCAAATACAGCAAGCGCAGCAAACACATGTGATGCCCACGGCAAAGCAGGATTTGAATTACGTACAGTTGAAAGATGTCTGCTGTTCCGTCGTTAAGCGTATCGTGTGTGACGCAAAGATTTTATGAGCTTCTGTCCGGAAACGTTGTGTTGCTACCGTGAACAGGAGGGACGCCTCGAAAATCCATCATATTTGACATCAACAAGAGAACCAAAACCTGAAGTCCATCAATCGGTCAACTTTTTCCCGTCGCGCCAAGACCCCCGCATATTGGTTTTTCAAGCGCAGTTCTGTCAAGTTGTTGACGTGATAAATCAAGACCCGAAAATTTTTGTTAGCGTTTGTGGTGCGGTTGTGAGACAGTAAACGGTCTGTGGATACCAAAATCATAGCTGTACATCTCGGTGCGTTGGTCCACTTGCACCACTTCCTTAGAAACACTTCAAATTCAGGTCATGAAATAATTGTTAAACAATCGAAACCGTGAGCGTGATTCTGAAACGACGAAAATATCTTTTTATTTAAAAGTGACGAATGCGTCCAGTCGTGACGAAATAAAATGCTTAAAGTACGATGCCGTAATTTCTACAGTTTGATCCCGGAACAATTTCAGAAAAAAATCATGCTTGGAAAGCTATCCTACGTAGAAGGTGTTGACCCTCCAGTCCTATCGAAGATACGTTTCCATTGGGATACGCGGAATACGTCGAATAGACTGGAGATTGGGTGATTCCCGCAAACATATTACGTGATATGTCAGCGGGAATACGTTTCAGTGGTACAGAAGACACAGACTGCCAGCTCAACTTACATATTTTCCCCCCATTTTCGGAATTTKGAATCCTGTATAAATTGCATGCAATTTCACAAAATTCCAAAGTGGCGGGAACTTTGGGATTTTCACTAAACCAGCTGTGCCTTCAAAACTTCGGAAACAGAATCCTCGAAAATCCTTCTCCGAAAGAAAAGAATAACAACAACAAAAACAGTCGGTATCCTCCTCCGAAACAGTCCCTACCCTCACTATTTGGCAATCGATTGCTCCTTCACAGAAAAAACACCGCCACAGCACTATCATGACCCCTCAGATGGTCTTAATTGCCTGGGCAGCTTCCCTCGAGGAAGAAGAGGAGCTCCGCCGGCAGCAAGAGGAGGAGAGCAGGAGGACAYYACCAGCAAAACAAAGACTGTCTGAAGAAGACAGGCGTCGACGTGATAGGAGGATTCCACGAATTGCACTAATGGAGTCTACTCAATCCGCATTCACTCATTTGTTTGATAGTGGTGACAACCAAGCTCTTCTCAACTGCTGTGGTGTGGATCATCGTGTCTTCAGGGATCTYCTCAGACTTTTTKAACCAGTTTTCGATGCATATACAGTGGACAAAAACAGCTTGGAGATCAGACCAGTACGTTTCACTAAGAAAGGCAAACCAAAGGGCAATAAGAGGGCGCTCAACGCTACAGTTGGACTTGGATTAGCCTTGACTTGGTACAGAACACGAGGATCATCAGCAAGAACATTGAGTATGGTCTTTGGGCTTACCTCAACRCCCCTCTATAAATGGTTGAAATTTTCTAGACGGGCCCTTCTTTTTGTGTTGCATAAACACCCAAAAGCAATCATTAGACCTCCCCTCGATGAAGAAGTGGAGGCCTATGTTGCAGCAATAGGAAGGAAATATCCTGCACTTGGAGCACATAAGGTCTGGGGTGCAGCAGATGGACTGAAAATTAAACTTCAGCATTCCACGACCTGGGATATTCAAGCCCT